ATATCATTTTTGTACCAGTGTACTCATTTGGGTTGTTTTAATGATTTCTTGTGCTACCTCTGATTTTGACATGGATAAAACTTTCAAGCGATATTGAAGTCAGTCGTAGAAATTCAAATTCAGATCTGGGTTTCAACCATGAATGCCAGAATGGACTCTGACCAGTAATCTCGTGAGCCAGTAAACATTTGCTCCATGTTTAGTAAAACATGAATTTCAAGGCACATCCACCAGGACCTAGTATTTGTGTCAGATTTCATGTTTATAAAACAAGACAAAAATGAAGAATGTTATATTTTAGCGTCCTGTTGCACTGACTCATGTCCATGATTTATGCTAACCGTCTTACAGTGCACACACTTTTTGACCTTACTGTTCTCTTTTGCACTACATGTTTCAGCACTAATGTGCCGTCTTCAGTTGCGTTTTCTCTATGCACGTCTAACTACTGCATTGCAGTATAACGCACGCAGTCACAGGAGCAAGACACAACATAGAGCACAATACACACATGAATGTAGGAAGAGTGCTCCCACAGAGGAGGATTGGCGTAATTCGCGTATTGAGATACGACGTAAGGATGACGAATCCTGAAAAGTTTTAATATTTAAAATCTATTATTATATATGACGAATATATATTTTAATCATTTTAGTATGAAGACATCAGGGCATGCATTACAGTAGTTAGACGTGCATAGAGAAAACGCACCTGAAGATGGCACATTAGTGCTGAAACATGTAGTGCAAAAGAGAAGAGTAAGGTGAAAAAGTGTGTGCACTGTAAGACGGTTAGCATAAATCATGGACAAAAATGAAGAAGACACGGAGGATTGGTGACACCTCCGCGCATTTGTAATCTCGGTATTACGAGTAGCTGAAGGTGAGCGGTCATTTAATATCCCGTCCAATTTGCCCGCAGGGAATGAGGCTCAGATACCAATGAAAGGAAGGCTGGGTGGGTCCCAGAACCTGCCTGGACGCTTCACAGAATAAGAATCTCTGCTCCCAGGGTCGTCCCGCCCGTAGTCCGTAACGTGTTGTTGCGACGAGTTTTCTTAGCGCTTCACATTGGGGTTTCAGTAAACAGAATTTAAAACACTGTAACTTTATCATGTTTTGGAGCAGTTATTTTCATTTTGTCTTTAGCCACTTAAGGCCTTGATGTCGGCTTCCCTGGCCCACTGCCACTGCACATAGTGTATCTGTTTTTGTATTCATTAACTTGCGTTCGCCAGTACGGAACGCTGTCCGCCGCTTCTAGCTCGTAGACCTCACCGAACTCACTTGTCTCTTCCTTCCAACCACTGCTGAGTAAAAGTTATGTTTCTAGAAATTCTCTGTGTACACACGAGAGACGAGACACAGCGATTCTGGAATGTTGTAGAAGAGGGGATTTCTGGAAACTTTTGAGAGGTATGCCCATACTGCCTTGTGGCCAGCCTCCACCCCGCACTTGGTCCTTGCGACAATACGTATACACCTGTATAGAGCTCGTTTGGCACAGGTAAAATGGCGAAGTATGGAGTGTATATTTTACAAGCGTGGTGGCAGCAAGTATTATAAATGACATAATGTAACCGTTCATTATAAGGCACATTATAATGAATATTTGATTAAGACTACTACGTTGTAAGCTTATGTCATAAGTTTGGATTAAGGAGATAGTCACGTTCTTAGGGCGCGTCCACATTATTCGTGCTCGTCCGGAGACTCGTCTGGCTTTTACTTGTGCTCGTAAATCTTCGTCCACACTACTTCAGTTGCTCGCCAGGCTTCGGCGCGTGAGGATCCGTATATTTACTCTTAGCGCGTATAGGCTGTGGTCGTATTTTAATTTATTGGCTATAGTTTTTAAATTAAAAATTAAAAATTTGCTTGTCTCGTGACTTGTCATATCGTCCATATTACTCGCGAGCATAGCGAGTCACACGAGCACGAGTAATGTGGACGCGCCTTTACATTCAGAACGCGACATAGGGTCATTCTTGCTGTGTGAACAAGATGCAGCCACCTGCAACAGAGCTTTGGTGACGTGATGTTGGACATCTAAGGCGAGCAGTAAACAAAAAGTAGGTTGGCCTGATACCCACACTAAGCTTATTATTATTTCAAGGAGCTGTCAAAAGTGTCATTTGTGTTTTAAGGACCAAAATCGCTTAGCAAATCCGTCCAATTGTGAAATGCAAAGTTTTGATACCTCCAAGTTTTTGAACTATGCCAATAAGCCGTGTTTGAGGGAGACAGCTTCTGGTGAAAGCTGAGGCTCTGAGAAGTTCGTTGCATCAGAACGGATCAGTTCCAAAAACACTCTGGTTTCGACTTCGAAAGCATTCGGACGCCAAATCCGCGTTCCACAGGATTGCCAATTGACTTGTTAGACTGTCTTGCATACTGAATTATTAAGTGGTCGTGGTGTAACTTTCGACTATAAATTCAACTTAAAATCTCTCGTAAAATATTTAACGTTATTAAAGTGGATCTGTAGTCATTTGTAGCAACCACTGTTTTCGTTTGTGTGTTTGCTCCTTCTGCCCTGCTATAGGAAGGCTCGTTAAAACCCAGGGACTGACCCAAGCCTGAGCTAGCCATCCTGCTGCATATCATTACCAGAAGGTATCCTACAAATTTGTGGCCACCACTGCCTGGTGACTACTGGCGCCCAAACAGTTCCTTCATCCATCCCAACCAATCATATCGACACCCACGGAAGGGAAAGAGGTAAAGATAAACCGAGTGCAGGAGAGTTCTGCAATCACGGACATAGCGGCGAACTAACCTGTTGCAAAGGGCCGCGCCATAGCTCAAGCGGTTAGTCGTTGGTTTCCCACCGCGGCGGTCCGGGTTTGATCCCGGGTGTGGTCAAGTGGGATTTGTGGTGGACAAAGTGGCGCTGGGGCGGGTTTTCTCCGCCTACTTCGGTTTCCCCTGCCAATCTTTATTCCACCAATTGCTGCACGATCACCCTCACCTATCATCTGGGGCTGGTACAATAGGCCAGAAGTGGCCGCAGTACAAGGGACTTAGTGACACCCCACTAGCAATAAAAAAACTTGCTGCAAGGGTTCACTTAAGCTGTATTCATTCTCGTCCGTCACACTAGTTAAATATTATAGAATGATTTGACAACACCGTCCAGTGTGACTCAAAATGTGTATATACGAGTATATATACATATATATGATGCCTTTACATGTTTCGGTCAGTTATGACCATCTTAAAAAGCAAATTAACAACACGTTGAGGAAACTGCTATAACCGCTCACTTCGTTGGGCCCTTTGCGTTGGTTGCCCTTATCACCGTCCTCCCTTGATCCTACGTTGTGCTCCACTTATCACCGTACTCCCTCTTCTCGTGGGTGTCGAGAAGTTAGGTGGGAAGGGAGGAGAATTGTGGTTGTTGGTGCTGGTAGGCGAGAGTTCGCTTCCTGTACACCCTTAGGTGTCTCGCAGGTAGGTAAAGACGGGAGTATCTGGGTTCTGCCCTGTAACTGGTAGAGGTGAGTTCTTATCTCGGGGTCTTACACGGGCCTGGCTCAGGCAGGGCAGGAAGAACCTTACGCTATAATCACATACACCACTTCAGACTTCTGCACTTAGAAATTATTTAATTCACTTCCTTTCACTGAATATTACGGAAACTAATGTTTACACTTAATTGTATTTAACATGTAATACTGTCTTTTCTGAAGGAACGTAGTTGGAAATTTGAGACTGACTTCGCCGAAAGTTGGATGAAGACTCCTTGAGGTGGAATGCACTCTTCCTGAATCCTGAGGTCCACGAACCCCAGACTCCAAGAGAAATCCACTCCTCCTCCTTTGCCATTGGTTAAGTTTCCAAACAAGGAGGTTCCCTAAATTTGTTAATTTCCAATCATGTTGCTTTGCTAAGTGATTCTGGCAGATGCTGACCTGACGCTAAAGTTGACAGCAGCTTGATGCATTACGATCAGGGTATGAGGCTCCGGCCGTCCCACTTTTAAGTTATCGCTGTTCCGAGCTGTCAGCTCTCAAATTCTCAAAGACTTTCCGACTTTGCTGAAACTGCCAGAATTCCAGGAAAGTACCAGATGTTACTTCCTGTCCACATAGCAAAACTTGAACTATGTCCCTTCTGCTTGTAAGAGTTGGCTATCTGCCGGATTCTCTTGTATTTACTTGAAATTTACTTAATATAGGTATAATTAATACACAATAGTCCACCAGTTAGAATGAACGGGTACACTGCTATTGAATTGATCATAGTACATCAAGTTGAATCAGAGTTTTATATGAAGATTTTAATTAAGATAAAATGTGGTTGAGTTAAAAATTATTAAACTTCTTAATATTTAAAATCTTAAAGCGCTAAGGTTGGTGTGTTTGTGCCTCTTTATCATCGAAATGTGGGATGATATTGCCATCCCTTGAAGTCCGGGCAGTGTTTTTTCCCTTTATAAAAATTTGGTTAAGAATCTGTGTTGTTAAGTTGTTTATCCTTTCGTTGTGTGTTCAGGCTCAACCACAGGTACGCATCCCTCGCATAAAATGCTACCGCACTGTATTTGATAGAATGCCTAGGTATTATGTGTAGTACCTAGGCAACGTGTGTTATGAAGGTAAAGCTGACCCTGCGCATAATTTATTAAACACTACGCCATGAAGACGTATATACCCACGTTTTCTTGGCATCGGCACTAGTTGGAAGTGGGTAGTCAGCTTCACGCTTCGGCCTCGTTACCCCGGGGGGAAAGAGCCCCAGGTACCCATTGGATAGGAGGCTGGGTGGGCCCCAGGTTCGGTCTGGGCGACATAGAGAAGAGAAAATTCTTGACCCTACCGGCACTCGAACCCCGACCCCTTGGTCGACCAGCCCGTAGCCAGTCGCTATATCGACTGAGTTACGAAAGAAATGACCCTTGCCTGTAGCACATTTATTGATATGCTCGCAACAATTGAAGTGTAGAGTTTGGAGAATAAATACACATTCAGTATTTTTTTCTTGAACTGATGTTTGTAGGCGGCTGTGGATGGGTTCAGGGGGGAGTGGCGAAGTGAGGAGCAAGATGGATGCTGCCGCTACAGGGCCATGTTGCCTTGATTTCGACCTCGACTCACTGGACGAAGAGTTGGGTAGCTGTAACCCAGCTACGAGGATGGACAGACCTGACAGTACCAGGTTCAGGATTCGGAAAGGCAACACTGCAGATACTATTTCCAGAAGAGGACCCATGGTGAGTGCCAGTATGCTGTAATCTTCCTGTGTGCAGAATTACCCTCGAGTTGTCTATATGTCAGCGTTTACTGAAAAATTTCTGTTCGTGGTACCCATGAGTGCTCATACTGGATGAATGTCTTGGTATCATACCAATGAATTTGCAGATTCCGGTTTGGATAACACGCAGACCAGCGGCAGGCAGAAGTCGCTAAATGCTGGCCATTATACCAGACCCAGACAATTTTTAGTCGGCAAGATCCGCATATTTTTGCAGTTGCGATTTTTTCTGCCACTTCCCCTTTTTAGCGAAGTATTGGCATTCTGCAGTCATCAAAACCCAGACATGTAGCAGAGTCTCAAAAGTGATTTTCAGTCACCATACGGGAATACTAAATGTTCCGTGCAACCGATGTCCACATAAATTAGCAACTTTGCAAGCTGTTTTTGTTTTACTGACCTCCGTAAGTTGTAATAGACTCCCGAGATTTTTCTCGCATAAAAGTTGACACTTCAGAATTCATGATCAATTTTTCTGTCATGGGATTGTCTAATTTGACAGAGTTGCGAAATTTTGTTTTATAATTTATGTAACAACGTTGTCAGTAACTCAGACCATATAGCGTGGGATGATTGAATGATATTGATAATGAATAGGAAGGAAGCGGCCGTAAGATAATTTGAGGTACTGTCGCGGCGCTTGCTTGGAGAGACGGAGGATAACCGCAAAAAATATCAGGATAGTCAGTGTTCCGGCCGAGAATCGAAAAGGATACCTTCCCAGTAGAAGTCAAGAAAGTTACTGCTTGAGCCAGCTTGCTGCAAAGATGTTTGCTGCATCGAGCTGTTCTCATTATATTGCAGGGTCTCCAAATTGTCCTGTCTCAAATCCACCCATTTTATGAGTCGTTGCTGTTTTTTCCCCCCTACGAATCTTCGTTTTAGTAGAGTAGTTACAGACATTTTAAGTCAATAGCTAGATGCCTAAGACTTTCTAATACATGAAATCCCAATGTTTGATAAGTAATTCAAATTTAACTTAGTAAACTCCGTTATTTTCTTAGCGCTGGCCGATATACGTGCGATGACCCACATACATAGTAGTCAGACTTTTGCCCGCCCTCTCGGCTGCCCAGTCCTGTTTCTCCCGAACTGGACGTCGTAGAAAAACGGTAAATATAAACAATCTGCTTGTTGAGGAAACGGCTGGAAATTTATTAATTTTGCTGTTACTTGTATGGGTTCGAGTCTAAATCAAATTCTTTCCCATCTTTTCCTCCACAAGGAAAGCATTGGGAACGTGGCGAGAGTGGATGGGCAATATTCATTCAGTCTGCTTTTACCGGTTCTCACGGTCTCTCCGCTTGCAAATTTCTTATATTTTTTCAGTCTGCTTTTACCGGTTCTCACGGTCTCTCCGCTTGCAGATTTCTTATATTTTTTCTTCTACCCTGAAGATTGAGGCGATACGTTCCTCCGAAACGTCGGTTAACACCACATATACACGGTGCCAAATCTCAGAAGACTGCTTTCTTCATAGTCACCGCCGTGAAAGCCTCAAATCTTAAATATTCATACAGTCTGTAGTTTCAGAACTGCAGTTTTATGTAAGAGTACATAGAGAGGCAGTTTTAGTGCGGGAATAGTCAGAATTATACGACCTGCACTACAAGAATTTTATTCTGAAGGTCACGAAAGTGACACGGATGAGTGCGAGAACCTGAGGACATTAGAAGTAAGTAACCACCACGCAAAGCAAAAATTATTTATCAAATTGCAATGCAGATTTTGCTGCATGGACACGCTGGTATAATACTCGTACATATTATACACAAGACATTATGATTCACATTCTCGACCTCAAGTGTAACAAAAATACGACAGTTGTAAGCCCACTAGTGTAAGCTTGTACAGGATGTCCGGATGAATGGTATCCAAAATAAAATAATTATATCTCAGAAAGTTTTTATTATACACATTTATGGGTTACGCCATTACAAAGGGAATCTATCAAAGGCTTTTCTGAGTATATAACTTTCTCAAAATTCAAATTGGGCTCCCTTGGTGCCACGACAAATATCCAGACCATCCAGTATATTTGGTGTTACCATAGCCACAGCGTCACTTATGCGGGCTTTCAGGTGTTTCAGGTCGTTGATCTTAACCTGGTAGACAATGTTCTTCAAATAACCCCACAAGAAAAAATCCAGTGGGGTTAAATCTGGCGACTCAGGAGGCCAAGCGATTGATCCACTTATGCCGATCTATCTCCCAGCCATCACTCTGTCCAAGTGATTCCTAACATGGTGGCAGAAATGTTGCGACGCATGCGCGTAAGCCGGGAATGGGGAAAAAAAAGCTTGCAGGGTTTTCATTTTCGTTGACATAAACCGGATACGTGTATGACAATTATTTTCCGATATATATATATATATATTTATTTATTTATTTTGGGTACCTTTCATCCGGACACCCGATATATTGGATATCCTGAAATGTTCTGTCTTATGCGATATAATACCGTGTAGTCCTATGAAAGTCAACTGACCTTTCGGAGTAACGTGTCGCCGCCATCTTCATGGCTGAAGTGTAAGTTAAGTAAACCAAATGAAGCAGGCACGCTCACCATTTCACCATTGTCTAGTAAGAAGGATAAGTGATAACTGTACCAATACATACATTTTAATGTTTAAGGTTGTACAGTGATGTAGGAAGGATTGCAAAGAACATTATCCGCATGAAACGAAGAGAAATGTAGTCAGTGTTCGGGCGAGCAGCTGCACGCTGCTTGTAAATCACAACACGAATAAGCATCTTCATTATATGGGTACTTTTCCTGCCAACGACTCTCGTCTTACCTACACTAGCAGTTGGGTTTCAATTTCACATCTTCCTATTTTATTATGTGTTTATTTCAAGCCTGTGAAGGTAAAGTCCCCGTGCTTAACTAATTAAACATTACGCCATGAAGGCGTATGTGGGAGTGGATGTATAGATCCACATTTTATTGACCTTGGCACTGGTTGGAGGCGAGTGGTCAGCTTCACGCCCCTGCCGCTTTACCCCCGGGGAAAAAGCCTCCCTTACCCATTGGATAGGAGGTTGGGTTAACCCCAGAGCCGGCCTGGACGATTTAAAGAAGAGAAAATTCTTGGCCCTACTGACCCCTTGGTCGTCCAGCCCGGAGCCAGTCGCTATACAGACTGCGCTACTCCGGCTCCTATTTCAAGTTTGTATCAGTAAGAATTATAATCGTTTTTAAAATGTCATTAAAATGCTCCGATTTTAATGCAGGACAATTCCGAGAGTTTATCAAACGCAGTAATGATTCAGGCAAGGGTTGTGGAAGGTAGCAGGATATATAGTGAATCTCCTAGACAGCGCTTCCTTGAAGCGCTCATCTTGTTGAGGGTCTTGGAATAAAGAGTACCGTTAAGACATTAACAATGAATCTCTTCTCTGATTGGATAGCGCTTTCATACAGGCCACATTCGATTCCTTTTAGTTCTTACCTGCTTGCCATTGTTCAACTTCTTCACATCTAATTCGACTCTGACCGTTGTATAGTACGTTATTTTATGACGCACTGTCAGCCGTAAACACTTCGAATATCGAATGAGCTGTCCTAGCATGGTTATGAATAATCAGCCGATTGGGACGTAATATGAAGTGGCTGTGGCCTATTTAAATCACTGTTTTTGTAATGGCCTGTGCTGAGGAAGATGGAATCCCAGAAATCACGTTGGATACCGCTCGAATGCTTGGCAGGGCCAGTACCGCTGTGCTAACCCGCTTGATAAATTCTCAGCGCTTTGTACTCGTACAGTTGATAAAGGCGAAGCAGCGTAAGAAACACGAAGCTAGTATCGTTACACGTGATTGGAAGGCGGCAAACAGACTTCTAGTAAATATTTCGATGTCCATGGAAGTATCCGAATGATACGTAAGTGATGTTACCTCGAGCCCCAAGGTGGCAGCACAAAACATATGAACGCACAAAAGATGTATAAAATTGCCGCATCAGTCGCAGACGCGAAGCATAGGAAGCGAAGCTAGGATAACAGTCCCAAATAATGAACCATTCTTATACCACTCCGAAGCTCAGTATCTGTTTACAGGTAAATATCAGTTGCCGCAATCATTACAGATATATTAGAAAAGCAAACAGTGATTAACAATAGGCGTGTAGGTATGTCTCCAACAAGAACAAAGCTTTATCGGCAAGGTTATGTCATAATTCGTGTACACAGCAGAGACATGCTAACATGGAAGTTTAATTTAGGTACCACGTACAAATGTCGGGCAGCATATGACTGTCGCATACTGAGGTCGGCGTCGGTTGAGCTGTGGCCGCTTTTAAATTATCTTGGCGATTGCCACACCGGGGAAAGGCGGAATCCCAGAAATCACTTCAGACATCTCGGATGCGGGCACGGCCATTACCGCAGTGCTAACCCTCTCGATGAATTCTGAATGCCGTATAGGGTTGATAAACTTTTAAGTAAATCGTTAAAGTTGTCCCTTTACTTAACTAATGAAGCACTACGCCATGAAGGCGTATAGGGGAGTGCATGTATAGACCCACATTTTCTTGACCTCGGCATTACTTGGAGGTGAGTGGTCAATTTCACGCCTTGGCTGCTTTACTCCCGGGAGAGAGCCCCCGGCACCCAGTAGACAGGAGGTTGTGTGAACCCCAGAGCCTGTCTGGACGACGTGGAGAATAGAAAATTCTTGAACCTACCGAGCCCCGAACTCTGACCTCTCGGTCTTCCATCCCGTAGCTAGACACTATACTGGCTCCCAAAATATTAATTAGCTTAAATACGAAGGTGGTTGGTACCCGCACAGTCTTAGAGAATTGTTGACGACGCTTTGTTCGAACTAATGGGTTATAAGGCCGCATATAATATGGAGAGATTATTATAAACCGAGAGGAAGAAGTAAGGACATGGAAGTAAGCAGTTATGGCATATTTGAAGGTCGTGTTACGGATGACGCTGGAATTGACTGCTTGAGAATTGGGCCTCTCCGTGAACAAGTTGTAGAGCCTACAGACGTTAGGCGGAGTTGTAGGAAGACCAGTAGCAGTGTGAGCAGCACAGCGATGCCATATCTCGAGCCGTTGTAGAACATTGCCCGCGGATAAAACATACCATGCTTCTTGGTAAGGCTCAAGATCTACGTTATAGAGCTACGTATCTTGAGTGTTGGAGCAACATTGTAGATAGAAGACACTCGCGATTGGAATCACGAAGGAAACAAAGACGAGTGTTAGTTTCGCTTATATTCGGCGCTGTAAGTCGAGTCTCCAAGTGTTTCCACTTCTGCAGTAATTGAAAAATTTCAGATACGTGGGTCGCAGTATATCTAGATGCAGTTTTGGGTTAGTTCATGCCGCCGTTTCAGCTACATTGTTATCATGCTCTCCTTATTTTGAAAAAAAAAAATAAAAGTAGACGTATGCGATCTTCATCCTGTCTAAATGTCCATGTGTCCCCTATCGGCTTTTTAACCGATCTTTATGAAACTTAATATGGATATCACGGTACCTGAGTCCATCTCAGTGGCATGCTTCTTCAGTCTCATCAGTCTGTGTCGATGTGTGTATCGTTGCTAGGTAACGGCTCGGTGCACACCTTTCCACTGCAACGAATACACGAAACAAAGAATTGTTTTACGTTTCGTTTTTTATGCGATCGGTGTATTATCAAAGGAAAATCTGTGGGCCTGTGTATTCCCCTGTCGTTGCAAGGTAATGACTCGGTATACACGTTCCAGCGGCAACGAAGAATTGTTGAAGGCGTCGTTTTCTATGCGGTCAGGTTGAGAACAAAACGTAAGCAATTTTGAAAGCACATTCAATTCCACATTAAATTTGATTAAATATCTTAAATTTCTCTGAGATCCTTGGGAGAGGTTCATTCGTACTCTTGTAAAATGTTATATCTCTAGAATTACAGTCTTCATGAAATACTTTCAGTTCAGGCATCGAACCAAAATACGGATACTAATTGTTCCTTTTAAGTCAGAAGGTGTCCCAGTTACGTTCATACAGGAGGCAGGACAAACCGGAAAGGCGCTATGAAGTTTGGAAACTTCTATATGGCATTTACTTTTTATACTTCCTCCACCAAAGAACAGTAAAATTAATGTCACGTTTAATTTTGTCTCTGTGAATGCGGCCGCCTTGAAATACATATAATCCCGTCTGAAACACCTATAGAGCCCATAACATGCTTGGATATAGTGAAACGTACCGAGTATTAACGAAGATTTAAAAGAACCTACGTGAAAAGTACAAGTGTTTCGAACTGTTTTTACGGCGTTTAGGAAAAACACATTCCTTTCAAGTCGGGGTGCTATAGGCGATGGACGGCGGGAGATGGCTGATCTGAAAATTATGCGCGCGATGAAATACATAAAAAATATTGAAAACAAAAATCAGTTCACAAGGGAATTGAAGAAGTTACTTATTCAGAGGTGCTGTTACTAAACGAAGGACTATTTGAACGATGACTTCTCGAATATTGGCTACTGATATAAGCAGAAGTATGTAGTATATAATGTATAAAATGTTGTATATCTTATATAATTTTTTAGTATTAAGATTGTTGTAATTTAATAATGTCTATTAGCTGAAAGACTTGTCCTATATCATTGTACACGTATCATGATGTACAGGATTAATAAAATGAATGAAATAATGCGTGGAACTCTTATACTCTCGATTTCGCCTGCAACATGTTGTTTAGACTCCAAGCGGTACAACTATGTCGTTGAAGTTGCCGAACTATCGCGGCGGTTTTATAGCAACGGCTTTACAGAGAATGGTCGTGAAAATGAATCTCGCATGCGTATGACGAATGGATACTGACAAACCAAGTACATTATTTTGTGGAAAATAAAATTGTATTTATTCTGATACTTATATTATTCGACCTACAGTTGTTAGTTCTTGTAAGATGCGGTTAGTAATCACAACGTAAACAACGACATTCCCTACAGAACGGACAATACTTTGTAAGATGAGGCACCGACTGAATAATTGACATTAATATTACTACATCTACATCACGAGCCTCCAATAACAGTTTATTATATATACACAAAATATAGAATACTCCATTTAGTCCGTGTGAACACAACAAAATCACAAAAAGCAACGACTGACTCGATGATGTGAAGCATCAATCGAAGAATTTTATTCTTGTTTTATTCTATAACTTTTGTTTAAATAATCTAATTTATTGTATTTTTATGCCAAGTATTTTAATGCATATAATATTATTGTATCCAATTTTATTAGTACTGCAGTTCAGTGGTGTATACAGTATATGTTAGCCATGTATTTGCCTGATGATGGCTTTTAATAGCTGAAACATGTAGCAGAGCCAAACTAGGCACTGACCTTGATATAGTTGTGGTGTGATGGCTTTAATAAAGAAATTGTATATTATAGCACAACAGGATGCATGAAATGAAAATTACTTCATAAATCCCTCCCATCACGCACACCAACACAGCAGCCTCTCAAATTGTTCAAGTAATAACCTAAATATTATTTGAATGCCTAAACAGATTATCATAAAGCATTGTAAATAAATCATGCTGTCTGAGGCAATAACAACAGCCTACTTCATAAATTCATCCTATCAGTAATACCAGCGCAGCAACTTCCCAAATGGTTGAGGTAATAACTTTAATCTTACTTAAATGCCTTGAGTTAATCATTATGAAACTTGGCTCTGGCAACGGCATTGCCACTTTGATTGTATTGTTACATTCACAGTTCTAGTTGCATAAGAATTGCATTCATGTTGTTTTATTGACTTCATTGCACATACTACATTTTTTTGCATGTATCAGATACTGAAATTATAGTGAAGGACAAATATGTAGTCAGGACTTGGCAGAACTTCTTGCATTTACAGTATTTCAGTTAATAATCCAAACTTCCGTGCAATACCAGTTATTAACTCCTGGATATAGATTATTTTGCCGTTTTTGTACATTGTTTAATGTATTTGCGTTGTTACAGATTGCTCGTCACCCAGTGATGGGTTTGTCAGGAGTGACTGAACATTCTGCACAGGTAAGTCGAGTATTATGTTGGATCAGGATGCATCCTTCTTTCCTTTTACTTCAGTGCACTAACAACTTTGGTTTTTGCAGCATTTTTTGGATACATTATTCATTAATGAGGTTTAATTTATTGGTTTGCTTTGTTGTGATAACTCAGTCAGTGAAGTGACTTCCTGTGGACTGAATGTCATGGGGTAAATTCCCAGCAGGCAACAAGAAATTTTGTTTTCACTACCATGCCAAGACTTGCTCAGAGGTTCACAAGTTTGCTTACTGTTCATTGGATACAGGGGATATTTCTCCTTTGAGAAAAGCAGTTGGAATATTAAGATTACCACTCACCTCTGCCTTACACTATGCATAACATTTTTTTAAAGGGTGCTCAAACACAATTCTTCAGAAACATGTTTTCTATCCCATGCGAGTCTTGTCTGCTCATGGTTACATGTTCCAGTTGCAGACATTGGATAAATATGATATGAAGCTTTGATTATTGTACCAGATAAGTGAGACTCTAGGGAATTGACATTTGTTCTGCCTTGTAGTTTATGGAATCTGTATTCAGACACCACAGTAATCATACTGCATTTGGGTTTTTAGTGTTCTCATGAAGTTGTTGGTGTATTTTTACACAAAATATGTGTATTTGAGGGAGCTTGCTGTGTAGCCAGTGGAAAACATTACATGATGCTGTATTGGACTCAATTATAATGTTTAACGGTATTTTTGTATTGACACAGATGCTGGTTGGCTGATGTGGCTAGTGGGATGGCATTTTATCAGGGGATTTTGTTTTAGATTACATTGGAATTTTCTGTTCCTAGGTCACTGGGTGGGTAGTATGTAGAGGGATTTTCTGCATATTTAAGCAAATTCAGCAATGTTACCAATGATTACAAAAAGCTTCAAAGTTATGGGAAGCGTGACCCCAGAATAACAGCCAAGCATAATTGTTGCACCAATTACAGGAAAATATTACTGTGAAAGGCAAATTGCTTTAAATAATAGCTGCTATATTGTGAATGTCTTAGTACAAGGACTGATGCTAGTGCGTCGGACATCCACATCCTTATACATTTATTGCTAGGTGGCGTGCTAACCAATGGGCATTGGAGCTGCCATGGTGAGTGCTGATTGGGTAGTTCTTGCTTCACTGCAGGAAGCTCCCAAATCACCCCCGCGCTCCCGTGGAGATGGTTGCTCAGATGCTGAAGCGAGTGGGGAAATGGATGTGGCGGCAGGAACGCGTAGTTTGTATGGTGGGCCGTGGCAGTGTGGCAGGTGATGTTATGGTCGCTTTTGCATAGACCAGGGGCTTTTGAAGGTGTTCTTGCTGTCAGTCCCATTGAGGATGTAGGCCTGCTTGACCCTATCAGTTGATATGGTGACGGACCTGCCACGCACCAGGAGTTGCAGTGTTCTCGTTATGTAAGCATAGGTGTGACTAATGCTAGCATGTTGAAGCTGCCATGGTGAGAGCTAATTGGGTAGTGCTTCGCTGTGGAAGGCTTCCGCATGACGTTGACATGATTAAAACCAAATGAAAGAAACACACTTCTCAGTTGATTTGGCATGCCTGTAGCATGTGTGTATTGCAAGGAAACAGACTGACATGCTTTCTGCATTATGTAAAGAAACAACTTTAACAAAAATCTTTCTGTGGGTGTTATTAATTTGTTCAGTCTGTATACCTTCTCATATTATTTTATTGATTTTTTTCCCATTGGGTCACAGTGAAAGATGGTGGTCATATTGTCAAAGGTTTGAAACCCTGGTTTAGGCCATCACAATGGCTTGTTAAAGACTGTTGTTGCTTGAGAGCTGAACAACTTTCAGCTTTGACGTGTTTTGTTGCAGGCATTAATCAAAACAGCCTGCCCTCCACCCCGATGCTGCAGGACCCCTCCTCCTATTGAAGGTAATGGGAAGGGGGAGGGGTGTCACATGAGAAGGAGATCACCCAGTATTCCTCGATCTGTAAGTGCAGTATTTTCATTTTAATGTCTCTTAAACTACAGGGACTTTTCTTCAATACAGCCTGACTTGGTTGTGCATACTTCTGTGTGATGTACAGTTCAGAAGGTCCCTAATTAAATCTGTTAACTAAGTAATTTGACTGTGTGTTTTATTCTTGTCTTCATTCTCTTCAACTCCTAAGCTGTTTGCCCTGTTTCCCCTTGTAATAACCAGAGATGTTTAAAATATTATTAATCTTAGGCAGTTGCATGAAGCAGTAATCTCGCCATCATTTTCAAGTAAATATTTGTTATGTATTTTCTTAATTTACTGGCTATTACAATATTTTATGGTCTGTTTGTGCCATTTGTAGAAGCCATAATCCAAGAGTACATTTGTTATATTAATGACAAATCCTGTTTACTTTTCGTGTAGTTTTGTTCAGTTGTAATGAAACCAATGCAAGAAACATAATGAGCATACATCCCCTCTCTCCCCCTCTCTCCCCCTCTCAAATACAAAGGAGTCAGTGATACTTCCCTAACATGAACATAGACAAAAATTCTGTGGGTGGAGTGTGTTCACATTTCAGAGTTTTGCTGTAATTCCATTCTTGTTTGCACATCCCTTCCTCTTAATATCTCTGGTATTCAGAGGGCAAGATAAAATATATATCTCACCATTTTTTATTTTTCTTTCATTAACATTAAATATAAGTGAAAATATAGAACTGAAACAAAGCATTTTTTATAAAAGAGATCAGCCTGGAAAGGGGTAACGTGTGTGTGTGTGTGTGTGTGTGTGTGTGGGAATTCGTTACTAAAGGGGTCTGTCTGGAAGTTTTGGGACATTCTTTGCATGCCCTGAATACTCTAGCTTGTTGGGTGAATGATTCATTTCCTGTTCAGATTAGCTGAGGTGTTAGATTGCACTCTCTGGATAGAATACATCAATGTGTTTTGATTATGGTAACAAGCATTATATTAATACCATTTTCATATGGGATACTGTCTTAAAAATCTGGATTAGAAAAGGAATTGTGACAGCATTGTCACACAGTTGTGTATATAGTAGCTCATCACAGAGGCTGGCATCTTCATTGCTGTTAAATATGAACTAGTGGCTGAAGCGGAAGGAAGAAAATTTATGGTAGCATTTTTTTTTCTTAAAAACATTGAAATTACCAAGATTTAGCAGCTGGGAAAAGGGATCCTCCAGTGTTCAACAAATGTCCCAATGACATACGATCCTCATAATGATAGTTGAACTTTTTTTGTGATCTCCATAACATCATCAACATCATCATAGATTTCTGTAGTAGTGCCTCTAAGTAGTGTTTTTTGCTTCAGTTAATTTCTGTTGCTGGTTTATTCAGAGATAAAAGCTGCATGTGCCCTTATACTGTTATAACCTCTTATTGATTATTCATTGATTCAATTCAGTCCATAGGGCCTTAATTGAATCACTTTTTCTATGTGTGATAGTGTCTGTCCTGCTGGAAATATGAACAGTTTCCCCCTCCCCCTTCCAATTGGACTGTTCAAAGAAAGGCGCCACAGTATTGCTCATAGTGCTTCAGAAGTTTCGTTTATTAGTGCATGCCTTTGGTGAGGCCGTTCTTTTACATTGGCAGTATGATGCTCTACAGTCTGAGTTACTGACAGCATCAGAACAAACACTACAAAAATTACTGGCAACATGTGAAATTATATGCCGCATTGCTTTACCTTCCTACTTCAGAATGTGAGTAGTCAAAATATCGCCTCTGCTATGAACTGCTGTGTAGTGTCTTGCATCATGAATTGTGTTTGTTTCAGTTTCCCTAGAAAATCACTGATATTGACTTCCCTCAAATATACAGAATCACCTAAACAGGAAATACAGTGGTAATGAAAATGTTATTGTTTCAGCGGCCATCCAGCCCGGGCAACAATTCAACACGCCGGCCTTCAAGCCCAGGAGCATTAGATCCTGCTGTATTGGAAGCTGTAAAAAACCGGGTGCGTAGGGTGCAACAGGCCCGTCTGTACCTTCTTCAGCAGACAGGCCCCAACTCGTTCCTGGTGGGAGGTGACTCTCCAGAGCACAAATATCGTGTAGTCATTGGACCACAGGTCTGGGGCTTTCCTTATTTTATATTTTCTTTAATACTGACTAAATTTGTGATAATTGTAAAGTAGCTTGTATTTTGTTATGTTCAGAATTTCTCTTTGAAATGTAAGTACAGTAAAACTTGGTTATAGCAACTTCGGTTTCTGCGACACCTTGTCTATTGCGTCAAATATTCAATGGTACGAACTAATTCCTCATAAAGCAACTGTTTTTATACCTTGCTTAGTACGACATGCACAAATGCATCAACCTCGTATGTAACGTCATTTTCATTCCTGAATTTCTCTGAGATGGGCACTGAACGTAATTTAGAAAGTGTGTATTGGGCAAGTAACAGGAAACAGATGAAGATAACTGATTACTGTACTCGTATCTAGGTACAGTAAGGCACAACAATTGATGTAATCTACTGTAATTTGGTGAGTAGGCCTACCTTTAATATACAGTATTAGTGCTGTGTGTATTGTCAGTGAAAAGTGCTGTAATATGTCTTTGATATTACACATTTGGGCAATACCACGTTAATGTTACGTTAGTCTGTACTTAACTACGTATTTCACTAAAAAATGCAACATTTTAACTCGGTTTTTGGTAGATTTTTACGTGACTAACATAAGGCTACTGTAGAAGTGCCCATTTCGGTTACAACGACATTTGTTTATAACGACACTATTTTTAGGTCCCTTTGATGACGTTATAACCAAGTTCTACTGTAATTTAAAATGTTTTGTAAATTTGTATTTATTTGATTCAGCAGACATTTCCATTTTATCACCAAGGAATCAGTCTCCTATAATTTAGAATTATGTTTCACATTGAATTAGGGAACCGAATATGAAAATGTCTATAAATGTGTTAACCAGTACTAATTACCCTGTACTCTAGAGTCATTTATTTTTGGGGGCATGTCACTGATATGGATATCAGTGATCCCACACTGTACTGAGATGTCACCTGTGTGTGTCACCCCTGAGTGAACCAGTACACTTTCTCTGCATCATAATTTCCTTCAGATCCTGACATCAGATTAACATTGTTTCACCCTTTTAATTAATAGTAGTCCCAGAGCTGAGTTAGATTATAATGGTGGCCCTCATTAATACCAGTGCAAAGCTCAGTTTTGACTGTGTGAGGCATTGTTCGTTAACAGGTGGAGACAGTGCTTTGTTTTGGAGGGGGGGGGGGGGCTTTATTGGACTCACCATGAAAACTTGCATCAATGTGACACAATTGCTGCTCCCAACACGACATTGTTCTTTTCCGAATCATTTAACCCCTCCCCACCTCCTTTTTTGTTTAGTTGATTTCATCTGAGCAGTTCTCCCTTGCTGCAGTCAAGTATACTTGAGCCACCATGGGGTCCTTTTGTGCAAGCTGTTCTTAGTCTGTACTTTTCTAAGCTATTTCACAGGCTTCTGACATATTTGGGGAATATGTTGAATTATATCAATTCATATTTTGACCACACTGTAATAAAAAGTAGCAGACTCAGCTGTCTCAGATGTCAGTGCTATTCTTTATCATTATTTTCTGTGTGTGTCCTTTTTAAGTGTCATTTCATTTGAAGTGAAAATATGTTCACAGACTTGCAGCTGTGGCCGTGGACCACATTGCCTACATTTGTTGTTTGTCATGCTCAGAGTTTTCCAAGTACCTGAAAGTGATTCAAGAATATATGCCAAGGAACTGAAGAACTTTGAGGCAAGTGTTGATGTACAGAGTAGCATTAACTTAGATTAAGGCACTGATTTTTAAACTATTTTTTTTGGATGCATTTGTTTAATTGTAATTTATTCATTGAATGATTATAGCCTAATTTGAGGTACCATCCTGTCATTTGCCTTGAGTGATAGAGGAGAACCATGGAAAGATTCAGTCAGTATAATCACAGTTGAGACTTGAACTGGGCACCTTTTACACACATGTGAAAACCATTATTGCTAATCAGTTTGTTTGCATAGGGATGTATAAACAGTTTGAAATTATAATTGTTCTGTCATCTTCGGTAGATGTTTATTCAGTTCACTTTTCAAACATTTGAATAGAGAAAATACACCACTGTGAAGCTCCCAGAATTATAATCTTGAAAATGAATGTATTGCAGTTTAAAACAGTAACTTACATTGCCTGTTCCTTATGGGCAGGTACTACAATGGTCCTATAATATATTTCACAAGTGCTTCGGCTTCCTGTTTCCAACATTTTACACAATATGACATAACTTTCTTGCTGTACATTATTCAGTCAGAATACTATAACAGCAATAGAATTAAGGTAAATGAGCAAACAAATGAATTGGTAAATAAAGCAGAGTTATTATAAATTCTTTGTTAGTAATTTAACATATCACTTTAAATCTGAGCAAAATGAGCTCATCTCATTGCCTGTGTGAGCTGAGATGTATGCATCTTGCACTGCTTCAGTAATGAATATGTGGGTTTGAAACCCACTCAGAGGTATGGATTTATGTCTGCTGGTTTTTCATCTGTTGTATTTTCCTGTGTAAATTGAGGCCTTATGATGGGCTGATCCCAAGATTAAGACGTCCTATCAGATATCCTGAGGATTGTTTTAAGAATTGTGAATTGGAACATGTCAGAGAGCTGACTTTTTCGCATTCTCTGTTCTTACAGGTGGAGTCACTATTCCATAATTACCAAGAACGTCGAAACTCGAGGGTTAGTGTGCTTCCAGATGATATACGAAAAGATGTGGGACAGCCTCAGTGCGAGTCAGGTTCACAGTCCACGCCGCAGTCTGAAAGTTCTAGTCGATGTACTGCTGAGTGTCCCCCTGCTTCAGATGTCAAGTAAGTTGTTATAGCAATGATAACACATAAATGTTCTGAATTAGTTGTGGATGTGCATGTACAAAAATGTGTATGTGTTGTATGAAAAGTAAAGTACAGTATACTTAAAAAATATAATTAGTTTAATTAAGAATGCAGTGGTATGGACATTTGTTGTGCACATATGACAATAGGATTCCTGTGAAAGCATTGAAAAAGATGACAGGTAGTGTCATTGGGGGGACCAGTAGCTGGGTGAATAGACTGAATGAGGAAATGTGCACAGAATAGAGCAGTTGACACGTAAGAGTAGCACTTACATGAGGGCAGAAAAGAGTAGAAGAGATTTTGTCATAAGTGGGCCCATACTTGTGAAGAGGCTGGTGGATGATGAAGAGGTCAGCATTACATTTTGAGTCTGGATTTGCAATACATGTGAAATTGAAATTTGGATGAATTTATGATCTAATTTTTCTTTCAGACCAGCAGAAGAAGAGCTCTGTCCTATCTGTCTGTTGGAGATGGTTGATGGAGAAAGCTTGGTAATTTGTGTCACAGGCTGCCGTAATAAGTTGCATCATCACTGCATGGCCATCTGTAAGTAAAGCAACTGAAGTGTTATCCTACGTTAACTTTTAACTCTTATATTGATATACTAGGAAAGAATGTAAAACTTGTATAAATGAAAAATATAACTATGTTATTAAAATTAAAACTTTAACATTTTACAGGTCAGTGTAAAATTCACATAGTAAAATATGTATATTATATACAGAGGGGTCCAAAAAAAAATGTACTCACTGTTTGATAGTATCTTTGGAACAAAATGACATGAAGTTACAATTCTTGTGTGGAGAGAGAGAGAGTCATTGTATGTGTTCGAAGTGACCACCATCAGCGGCTAAACAGCATCGATGCTACCGAACTGCTGAGCGAACTGTGGCTGTCAGTGTGTTCGGTGTGATGGCTGCACACAATGCTTTGATTGTTTCTTGTAGTGTGTTCAGTGTAGCTGGCTTTTGTCAATAACCTTCATCCTTCAAGGTTCCCCATAGGTAGAATTTGAGAGGTGTTAGGTCTGGAGAGCAGGGTGGGTACTCAATAGCATCTCTTCGACCTATCCATTGTCCAGGTAGAGTGTCATCCAAGTACGCCCTATCATCTCGATGGTAGTGAGATGGAGCACCATCTTGTTATAGGTAAAATCTCTCCATCTCCAAACAGCTCTCGAACGGCAAGGAAAATTGATGTCTGCAGCATATCGAGATACACCTGACCAGTGTTGCAACACCACGGCACTGGAAGCTGGACTTGTTACTATCCGTGGTTGCCCAGATCTTTGCTTATTCACATCATGAACAGTACTGTCGGCTTCAAATTTATCCCGAATACGGGCAGTTGTTCAACGTGTTGGTGGCTGAGTTCCAAACTCATTCTGCCATTGTTGTTGTACCTCTTTAATGTTTTCGTACTTCCAGTACCACTTCAATACAGCCTTGTGTTGCTCAAAGAACAACCTTTCAGCCATTGTTGCTGCTGTCTTCTGCTTGCAGCGTGCATGCGGCACGACACTCACGTGACTCATGTGACCTTCACCATCTGTTGAGAAAACATTACACTACACTACCGCGCAAGAATTGTAACTAAATGTCATTCTGTTCCAAAGATATTGACTATCAAAGAGTGAGTACTTTTTTTGGACTCCTTTGTATTTCAAAAGAGAATTTTTTCCCATCTCATTATGAAAATATTGTCACGTGTTTGCTAGGCAACGAAAGAAGAAATTGTGTGGGTTCTTGGATTTGAACGAATATTTATTGAACAGTCACTTTCACACTCACACTTAAATTATTCTGAACGTATAACGTCCTTTAGACTTTCTTCTTCAGTGTTGCAACACTTCTGTTTTAGTCAGATAAGAGCTCCTCTGTTCTAGGTGGATAAGAACTCTTTCCTGCTGAAGTCGAATACGACTGACTTCTGCTCTAGTTTGAGCTAAACTGACTTTAGCTCTTGTTGGGAGTCACACTTACTGGACTCTTGTCTACATTGGACTCTCATAATGTGCACTTGAACTCAATAAGGAATACCTTGTAGAAAGGTTAATTCCACCCACTGTTACGCAATGAACGCGGGAATACGTGGCTGCCTCAACAATTCGTGTGTAACAGTGGAAACTCCACTGCTGCTAGCCGTTGTATAGCAATGGGTGCGTTCCGATTCCTAGCCGCTGTCGCGGGAACATTGATCTTTACTTAGGAAATCATCCCTGATCTCCTAATCCATTCTGGCTTTCTTGTGGCATGCCAAAATATTTAAAAAATTTACAAACAAGGTATTACTGTATTTAGTCCTCCAGATTTTGTATAGGAGGTTCCACATAAAAGGCCAAATCTTAGCCCAGAGTCTAGCTGTCACAGCATGATTTTCAGATTTAGCTTAGCATCTTCATGCAGCTGTTGAGATATTTACATTTTTCATGCTCTTTTCTCTGTGTCCCAGAACATTATTGTACTTATACAAGTTACACATCACACTTAAGAGAGATATACACAAAATCAGAACTCAACAAAAGTTCATTCACTTAAAAGTAAATTATTTTGTTGTCAAGATCACACCCTTACATTTTTTCATGTTTTTACATGTTCAGTCGGAATGTTGGTATCTGCTTACAAGAGTACGTGACGGCACAATCAGAAGACCACAAATTGAACAGTCATGTCAGATGTCAAAACTTCCTTATATCCTGATGTGGAAAATAAAGTAGTGTATTCTAAATTGTTTGGTGTTGTGCTCAGAATTGACATTAATTATACATTTACCTGTATAAAGACAGAATGATATACAGATGTGTGCATAATCCTGAAAAATCCTCTGACCGCACATGTTTACCTTCAAGTGATGTGCTGTCCCTGCACTGATTGTTCACTGTGCTGTATTGTCAGTCGTATTTCATGTTGGAAGTTACTAATTGATATGTGATTCACACTTGCTCAAAAGTTCAGCAAGTGAGTTCTTAAAATATCTTTTAGCTGCAGTTTGAAATAATAAAGGCTAGGCCATTTTTGATGGTATTCAGATTTGACTCCATCTTGTTGCATAAGTTAGATCTCATATGCCATTGTAGTGGCTTAACAAAATCTTATGTGTCTGTTTCTCCTGAGCCATACTGTTGTTCTGATTTGTGAATTATTTTATTATTCTGTAGGTATCTAGACTATATAGTATCAGTCAGAATATACGAGGACAAAATGTAAAATTAAAAAGAAGTTCTGGGAAGAACTAATCGCCTACTTTCCTTTGATATGACCCAGACTGCATGGAAAATGGTTTGTTCAATATTTCTTCTATTGATGCATGTGTATTCTTTGCCATGGGAACATATTTACCAAACTTTTGCTTAGCAACAGTAGGGGGGATACACTAACATGCAGGCAGCAAGGCGATTTCATAAGCCTACTTTCATTTTTTCAAATTAGGGGTAAATTATGTTAAAAAATGAGGTGTTACACTTTTTTTCTATCTGCAGGGGCAGAAGAATGCTATCAGCAAAGTGAGACTGTCCTCTGTCCTTTGTGCCGACATCCGTGGATCACTGAGGCTGTCTCCCAAACTCACAGTATGAGAGAACTGGATTGCAAACAAAGGGTTTCAGCAGATCGTCACCAGACCACATTTTACAGAGTGGACCCACCTCACATGGCTCATAAGTTTGGTGCAATGATAACACAGCAGGTGAAGAAATCACGTCCCAGGGCTCTGGAGAGCGAGTCATCAGTCTCACCATTTATGAGTTTTGATTCTGGGTCGTCAGGATACAAGTCAATGTCATCTAATAGTGCCCAGGCATTTCAAGAAGTTCTTGCTGATGCAGGGGTCATTCCATCAGAACAGTTACCTGTTGCTAGTGAGTGGGCAAAGGTATGATTTTGCTGTATTAACAGTGTTTCCTTTTATTGTGCTTCAAACCAAAACTTAAAAGGCAGCTTTTAGTTTTATCCTGTCCATATGCTAGTAACAGTGGCCAAACTCTGATACCAGTTTCATTGACAGTAATGCACACACATCTGCACTAAATTTTATCATGCCATTTTGAATTATTTTGTTTACTTTATGTTAAAGACCAGTTTACTTATAGATCTTGATTAACTTTTACATGTATCACTTATGTCTCTTTTCAGAGTTTAGTGAAACTCAATACAGGGCACCTAATTACATGTGAATGTATAGGTTGTGATGTCATTGTAACTCAATAAACTAATCAGATATGTGCCATGGACAAAATGGAAAGTGAAATTTTCTGGAAAGATGCCAGAGTGATCAGATACGAGTACAGCAGATATTGAATTGGAAAAAGATTTTTATGTTTGGTGGTGATGGATCAGGTTCAGAATTATATCAGAGGGCTGTGTTTTGACAGTTTCAACCATGGCCACATCTGTTTTCACAGATGGTTAACAGGAATTGCATTGAAACTCAAAACAAAGAGAGCAGATAGATTCTTCAGAATTGACCCTGGTTATATGGTAGAGAAATTCAGAACATATTGTCATGTATTTAGTTACTAGATACAGGGTTTGTATTGGTAATTTGATTTATTGGGCTCTTAAAATTTGTATCTATGAAGAATTATAGTGCTATTGCTGATTTGCACACTTTACAATTCACTGTAGCGCACACTGAGTCTTCTCAGTTTATCTACACTGGTGGTTGCCTGGTAATCGATCCCAACAATGTCCTCTTCTGCTCATGTTATTATCAGCTCACGATTATCTTGTACCTAACCTGTGGCTCCAAATAGCCTCACATTCTCAACTGCAGTGCCATGACTGTCCACTGACTGGCTGTTCCCAGTAGAGACCCACTTGAACAAGATAACTAGAGTCTGTGGTACTGTATGAGTCTACAGCTTTCATCTTATATAGTTATGAAGCCTAGCAGTTGGTGAAAGGTGAGTCCAGATGTCCGAGGAAGAGTGACACCCTTCTGCAGACCAGGAAAGATTAAAGAGAAATTAAGGATGATGTACACTAGCCACAAAGCAAAAGTTATACCAGCAGGAAGACTTCAAAACAGTGTGAATGTGCTGCTCTTCGTTTATATTCACTACAGTCCATTAGTTTTCAGATCAAAATTTGTCACTGCTAGGGAATCCCCCCCCAATATATATATATTTTTTTTCTTGCAAAAAACCTCACCATCTGTCCCTGCTTTTGTTTTTTTCCCTTTAATCTTGGATTCCATGTTTGTTTGCCAGTGCAAATGTCTCAGACTGGCACATTTTGGTTTGACACTGCCCATCCAGTCTGCAGTTTGTCATATTCACAGTGGTTTCTTCTGTTTGAGGATATTTCACTTTTGGCCATGAAATGGACTCTGGCTACGATTGTTCTCCAGCATGAATGCCCTCTTCTCACTTTTGAATTAATTTAAGTTTTCCATCCACGTGAAGGGTTGTAAATACATGCCTTTAGTACTTATATACCGGAGGTAAACCCATACTCTGCACTTGTGCAGATGTGCGCAAATGGAACAGAAAGCTCTGAAAGTTGAGATGTATGAGCAGTGTTGCAAACTTCATGAATAAATTTCTTGCCCCAGTTCTTGCTCACATTCTGGGAGGAGGAGGTATGCAGGTTATTGAAGATAATACAGACTATGGAGGTAATATGGTATTAGATGTCATGTGGCAATATTCTGGAGTACTGAAACCATCATACACATATAAATAAAGAAAGGAAAACTATTCTTAGTAGACGTTCTCAGAAGCAATGGCAGGAGATGCTTGGATATTTAAATTAAAAAATCTGCTGGTATGTAATATGCAAAGGATAGAAGTTGATACATATAGGAAAATATGATATGTGCATACAGGTAAGCTGAAGGAAGTGGTGCGCAGTTCACATAATTAAATGAAAAAGCTTAAATTTAGTTAACATGGAGCTTAGATGGTGAAAAGAGAAATATATTGAATTTTTGATGTGGAGCCCTAGAGGCTTGAGGATAACACTGAATAGGTTGTGTGAATGTGAACTGTGTTGAACAGGTTTAGAATTCTGTCCATTGTCAAGCTTAATTACTATGTTGCTGAAGATCTGTTACTAGACAGTTCAGTTTAAGGTGAGGGCCCATATGTCAGTGAGTTTCTGTTCTCACATGTGCTCTTTCATTCTTAAGTTTGGTTCCATTTTTCTGGGTTAGTTTACTGTTGTTTCTTGAGTGGCTGAGCAACTGTTGGCTTCTCAAGAAGAAGTCAGCTTCATGTAGTTAGTTCATTGTTACGGTAGGTTAGCATAGCTTGGTTGGACCTGTGCCATAGAGTGCACTTTCAGCCTTTTTTATATGGACAGCTGTTCAGATATCACTTTCATGATTGTACATTTCTTGAATACAGTATTTTCTGATTAGGGGAAACTTAACATAGATGCAGAATAATTTTTGGTAGAATGTATAATTTGATAATTTGATCTTACAGTTGTTTGGAGCAGACCTGGTGTTATGCCTCTACTTTCGAGACTGGAAAGCCCGTGAAGTGGCAGTCAGAAAACTGATTAATTATATTGTTGCAAGCCATTACTTTGACAGTGAGGAGAAGCAGCAAGAGGTGCTTTGGTTCTGTATGAAGATCCTCACCATGGTCGTTGCTGACCCAGTCTTTGAAGTATTCCTTTGCTCCATTGTAAGTTGTGGCTTGCATTATATTCATAGAAATGATGTAATGTGAATAACTGTTGTACTGTGTAAGATTTGAGGTTTTCACAGCAGTGACTATAATGAATACTGTCTTCTGGGATGTGGCATCATGTAGATCTTGTGTGAACTGACATTTTAGAGGAACGTCGATTCAGACAAGATCTACACAGTGCCACATCCCAGAAGGTGGCATTCTTCAACTGTTGTACTGAATACATTTATGGAAGAATTGGCTAAAAAAGAAAACCAAAGAATTTTCAGGCAAGTGGAAAGGTATGTGTTAGAAATGGACAAATTGTGAGGGCGTTAAATCAGTGATGTAGTTCAAAATTGAACCTGCTTGGCAGTTAACTGTATAATGTTTCATTAGTATGAGAAAAGTTGTGGAACTGAGAAAGGATATAATGGAATGTTTACCTTAATATTGGAAACGCCTATGTTGTGATGTCAGTTAGCTATATTCCTTCTGATTTTACTGTCATCTCTTATATCAAGTTTTGGCAAAATATATATAGAGCAAATTATTTCATATACATGAACTGACTGTATTATATAATAATGAAAGATGATTGTGTATTTGCAGCATTGCCTTAAAGTGTTGCTGAACTATGCAAATTGTCACTCCAAGAGTCAGCTGGAGGAGTTGATCCTTCCCATTATTAGAATCCTGCTGCTCAAGAGTGCTGATCAAAACCATCGCACTTCACGTCTCAGTGCAGAAGTTTTGGTGGAGCTTGCTAAAGGGCAGAATGGAGAACTTGCTTTGGGTAAAAATGTCTCAGACAGTCCCAGTTGCAGAAGTTTTGAAGGGCTGGAACTGATACTTGGATGTGTGTTGGAGGAGTGGAGTTTTCACACAGTCAGTTGGCAGTGGCTAGCAGGACGTCTCATAATTCTGGTTCATCTTATTCAAGATTTCCCAGATGAGTTTTGTTTACAGTATTTGCCACTTTATCCCAGTGAGTCAGGCTACAAGCTGCACAATTACAATCGTCTCATTACAGTAGTTGAGTTTTCATTGAGAGCACTGCGAAGTCCACATAGATCAGTAGCCAGGTTGGCACGTCACGTTTTTGTTGTTTCATCCAGTATGACTGCCAAGGAGCATGGAGTTTTCAACCAAGTGCTAAACATGCTGACAGGTTTAGACCATAATTTGCAGGTACGCTTAAGAAAGCGACTTCACCAAGCAGCAACTGGATGTGAGGTTCAGTCTCAGGTAGCTGGGTCTGGGCAGGGCTTGAAGAAAGCCAAGGCAGCTCATTGTGTAGCAGAAGAAAGGTACAATTGCCAACACGAAACTCAGCATGTAGGATCAACGCCACTAGACACCAGTGCAGTGCTGAAGCCCCTGATCTCCCCTTTAATAGCGAAACCCAGCAGAGTGCTGAGTGTTGCCTGTCAGACAGGAATGGGACCAGTACGTGGCACATCACACCACCCAAGGGATCTGCCTCTTGACTTCTCAAAAGTAAAGAACAAGAAACCTGTCAAATTTCAACATCTGTCAGGCACTTCTCCTGTTCAGGTTTCGTTGTCTAAATGTTGGAGTGGTTCACGCTCTAAGTTGCTAAGTCTTTTCACAAATAAGAAAAAGGATGAATTGCTTCCTACAAAGCCTGAACTGAATGGCATTTACCGAGGTATCTGCAGTGCTGTTGGGCAAGGATGTGAAAATTGTCAAGTGGAAGATGGTCACCAGCACATGGAGCAATGTCATTTTTCCCTTGGTAGCCTGTCTTCAAAGGTGATGGCACAAACTACACCTCTGGCCCCACATACCTTGCCCATCCAAGAGATCCACAAAGCATCTGGCCAGGCACAAGAATATCTAGATGGAATGAGAGAAGAATTGGTTCTTCCTCTTGATCTGAGTGATTGTGGAAATCATTTTGAGTGTGAAATTCCTTCCACCCCAGGCCTTAATTCACCATTGAAATTGGATGATTCAGCAATTCACCCTCAAGACAAGGTACTTACTAATATTGTTTTTTCCTCTTTTAATGAATGGTGTTGCCATAGGATGTGTACTAACTTCTACCTATGATTGCAGAATATGGAGGGTGGAGTGAAGTGTAGTTCATATTTGGAAGGCTTGGACTGGAAGCGTGGACAGTTACTTGGAACAGGAGCATTTAGTTCGTGTTATCAGGCTCAAGATATGGCAACTGGAACGCTGATGGCTGTCAAACAGGTATTTGTAATATGCATTATTTGCAGTTAAGTCTCCATATAGCAAAATCAAGTGGACCATTGGCTGAGCAGAAGCAAATTTTTAACAGTAAGTTTACCATTTTCTTGTTAGGCAAAATGTGGCAAGTTTAATAGTGGAGTTACTACCTTTTGAACATTTGGACAGATTTTCAGTGCTATTATTTCCTCTAGCTTTGATGTGATGATTGTTCTGCTGTGACTTGTTTGTTAGAGTCTCATTAGCTTCCTCCAAGTACTGTAGTTTACCCCTACCAGTCATCATCCTGTTTGTACTCCCTACACATCTATATCATCGTCAGTTCATCAGTGGCTGGTACAGGATGACTGCTTGAGGTCATATTACTAAGAGAACTGAGCCTTGCCATACTTATAAGCAACGATTATGATGATGATAAAAATTGAGCCTAACACTGGGTACGGTGGCAGTGGTCCTGAGATGATGGTGATGCAGAAAATGGCATTGTTGAGGATGAATATAAAGAGAACAACCACAAATTAGTAGTAAGCAATTGAGCAATTTAATTATAAACCATGTATCTTATCGTTCATCACACAGACCCATAACTTAATCAGAAACTTTAACATTCATCATTCACAATGAGAATAAAGCCAGTCATACATGTCTGGGCAATTATATTCGCTGAGTAGAAGGACACACCAGCATAAGTTAGCATGTTGATTTGAACGGTATCGTAGAAGGACCAGGAGCCATGAAATATGCTATAAAAATGGGGAAATTTGAAAAAGAAGTGACAGTTCAGTCCTCTGTTGTTTGTAATGTAATGGAATTGAGGCACCCGTTCATGTTTAATGTTAATTTAGTTAATTGGTCAGTATAAAAATATTGGGAGGAATTTAAATGTGAAAGAGACTCTCACATGGTTACACTGAACCATCATAAAAGGTTTATGCAAACAATTTTTTGTGGTGCACTTGACTTCTGAATATTTTAAATATATTTTTATTGTGTTGGAAGCAGACACTTCCTATATTAAATGTTTTCATAACTGCATTATTGTGGCAGGAAAATAATTGTGTCATTGGTTGCCCATAATTTCAGTTGTCAAAACATGGTACCTAANATTTTAAAATTCCCGTTATTTCCTGAACACACCTCGTATATCAAATAAAATAGTAATTGTCTAGGATTTGTTTTGACTGCATCATGATTAAGTGTTATATATAAATAGAAACTTATTTTGTTGTTGTTGTCCTTTTTAAGGTGCCCTTTTGCAGAAATTCTGAAGAAGAACAGGCCATTGTAGAGCTCGGAATACGGGAGGAAATAATGACAATGTCTAAATTGAGGCATGAAAACATAGTACGAATTCTAGGTGCCACAAAGCAAGGAGGCCACTTCAACATGTTTGTGGAGTGGATGGCGGGCGGTTCTGTTGCTGGAATGCTTGATAGATATGGTCCATTCAGTGAAGAGGTTATACTTCGTTACACTAAGCAGATTCTTGAAGGACTATCCTACTTGCATGATAATCGCATTTTGCATCGTGACCTTAAAGGTACAGTGTAACACTTGTTTTAACTGCTTGTTAATAAAATTAAGATTTAAAAGTGCAGCACTTTTGTTGTTAAGGAACCGAGAGCTCCAATCTCCAATCTGATTAAGGTCTGATATAAAATGGACATTACAGAAGACACTCGGTAAATGATTGTCACCAGAAAGAGACAAACTACAGGTTTGTGAAGATGTTAGATTAGTAGCTGGCTAAATTTTATGATGATCATCAAATATTCTTTTGATATAGCATGTTAATTTCCATTTGGTTTTAAATTATATTTCAGAACTGTATACTAAACATATCGAGGTACTTTGAATTATGACGTAGTGCATTAGATGTATGTGAAAAGTATGAGTGAGTGTACTTCCCACTTCTACCGTAAAGATGGAGGTAGTAAGTTCCTCTGAAACGTTGGAATCATTAATCATATTGATTTATTTAATGTAAATTATTTTATCTGTATATTTATATGTAAGTAGCAAGCCATCTGTTGTAAGAAAAATACTGAAAGGGCAGAAATGGGCACGTAACTTTATTTTCCTGTGAATACAGAAACTAGAAACATTCATAACCGTATTTCCAATGTTAGGAGTAACAGACAGGGCACCATTAATTCTTGTTTTATTAAAAACCACTATAGTAGCGCAAATATTTCCTTTGTGTGTGTCATATTAGTTTGAAATTGGCTTGAAGACTGGAAATTACCAATTCTTAATGGTCACTTTGAACATGCTATCTCATTTAGATGACAGAGCCAGTCACATGTTTATCATCTAATTAATTTATGTCTTTAATATTAGGATTAACCTACAGGTAAGGTAAACCCAGCAGCCAGAGGGGGTGTTAGAAAATCTTAAATTCATGAGGGGTGGTGCTTGGTTTGATACAAGTTCACATGTGACCACAGGAGTGGCAGTTGAGACTGATATTGAGTTTACACTTCAAGTAGGACAGTTATATGACTGCCTGTGTGGTCTAGTGGTCAGAGTTCCTGGCTACAAATCCAGAGGTACTGGGTTCGATTCCCGGCACTACCAGATTTTCTGAGAAGTAGTGGGTCTTGAACGGAGTCCACTCAGCCTTGTGAGAATAATTGAGGAGCTACTTGAATGGAAAAGTAGTGGCTCTGGTCTAGAAAACTGAAATTAATGGTCACGGGGATTTGTTGTGCTGGCCATGCGACACCATCTCTCCGCTAAAGTTGGCTCGATTTGTATAGTTCACTTGCGGACTAAAGCCATGGAGTTTATTGTAGGACAGGTATTGCTACAAGCTCAGAGTAATCCACAGTGTAAAGTAATGAGAATGTTGGAAGTGTTAAAGCAGGCACAGGATACAAGACTAATCAGCCATCACTGTTGTGTGTAGCAAGTGACCAGGATTTGATTAAGTGATCATTGTGCCAACACCACAATACTGTATTTGCATATGACGTTCCTTTATATGAACATTTCACTTGTTGTGTGGTTGGAGCTACCTGGGATCTTTTGAGTAATTGCTAATGTAATAATTCATAACTAATTCTGAAATTAACTGAACCAGTAAACAGTAACTGTTACTATATTAGGCTGCTGGAATCAGTATGATAACAAGTTAATATAAAATGACCCGAAGGAGAAGATCAGCTGCATTGTAAATTGCTTTTCAGCAAATGATCAGTATCAATGATGCTAATACTCATAGAAATGAAATCAACTTGTCAGAGGCACACTGAATATTCTATTCTGTTGTGTTTGAAATCCTTTATTTTCCTGCCTGAAACTATAACTAACCTTCAACTCCAATCTTGCAATCAAAGACACTAGTTAGCTTAAGCATCCCCTATGAAGATCATGAGCTTTTTCATGTTTCCAGTTCACATAGCTGTAATTGATCAGATACTGAAGGTTGTGAGGTTTTATTGAAAAGACACAAAGAAGAAGGCTTTGACAATGACAAGTTTATTAAATGAACACAGATTCTACAAGAAGGCATTGAGGGATTAGTATTATTGATATCAGCCAGATAGACTGTCAACCCAAGCCATAATATGAATCTTCACCACCCTGAAAACATCAGATTATATAATCTGTACTATATTTTACCTCACCTTAAAAATGTCTTTTGTATTAACAATCAACTTAACAATCTTAAGTCTTAACTTAAATCTTAAATCTTAACTTAAAAGTCTTTTGTATTCTTATGTTGCCTAATATTCAGTAACCCATTGTATATTCTGAAATGAAATGTGCAGGTGCTAACCTGCTTGTAGACAGCACAGGACATCATCTGCGTATTGGAGATTTTGGGACGGCAGCCCACCTGGTATCACAAGCAACTGTACCTGGAGAGTTCCAGGGTCAGTTACTAGGCACTATAGCTTTCATGGCACCTGAAGTCTTGCGAGGTGAGGACTATGGACGATCATGTGACGTGTGGAGTGTGGGCTGTTGCATGATTGAGATGGCTTCTACAGAACCACCCTGGAAAGAAAACCATGTGTCCAATCACTTGGCTCTGATGTACAAGGCAAGTAATTTTTAAAGATGTTCAGTAACAAATCTTCTAATTATTCCGAGTGATTCACTGTAAAATAACCTGTGAATTTGTAAATTTTCCCTGTTGTGTAATGTCATCTTCAGTATTGCATATTTGATCAGCTTACATGTTTCTTACAAGGACTGAGTATCTGAAATTATTTCTCAGTTTTCAATCATTATACCATACCATATTTGACGGTTTATAACTTAAGGATGGGTGCCCGGAGATAGGGACTAGCTCTATCGATTGGGCCCAACTGAGTAGGGTTTACCTGCCAAGGGAGACAAAATCCAGTCTCCAAAACGTGTTTTGAAAAAATAAACAGGATGGTTTTTAGACAAGATGGTGGATAATATCCAGAAACATAATATTTGTACTAATGTACCATTGCCACAAACTCTTAGATCTTATTAAGCATTTGATACAGGATTGTAATAACCAATTGAGCACATAACAGATACATACTGACCAAGCAGGTTGTTGTAGCAGTAATGATATAGACTTATTTCTCGGAGGAACTTGGTTCATATCTTAGCTGGAATGCCAGCCATCCTAGCTGTGGTTTCACATAATCTTCCTCAGTCCCTCTAGGCAAGTTCCAGGATAATAATTCCAAATTCCTACTGATTCATTATTCACTGATCTTCCTACCATTTGACACTATACAGGGTGTTTCTTAGGTAGCTTTCTGACTTTGAGAGGATATATACATTTATTAATAAGTGGTAAATGAAAACCAAACACATGAAATTTTGTCTGATGGATCAGAGTTACAGTTTGTGACTTCCAGATGTTGCATGACAAATATACCATCTGTAATGAATTTCTTGCCAGGTCCACTGTAGCTTGCCTGGCGTGACTTGTGCAACTGCACCTGTAGCCTAATTCTTGCCTGTAGATCAGCATTTGCTGGTAAAGGTGGAAATTACACATCCTTAAAAAACCCAATAAGGAAAGGTGCAGTGGAGTTAAATTGAGTGATTGAGATAGCCATGACGTTGGACCCACTCAGTCTACTCACTGGTTTGGAAAATTTGCGATGAGATACCTGCACACTTTTCCATTGAAGTAAGGAGAAGAGCTGTCTTGCTGGAAACATATGCGACCTTCATGATAATCTTTGTCAATCTGTGGGATGGGAAAATTTTGGAGAATTTCTAAGTAAGCGATATTGGTAATGATCCTT